TTTCAAAATAGTTATTTTACGGTCACATCTTCAAGATCAAGTGTTTTCTTTTTTTATTGTTGTCAGTTTGTTCTTTTCTCACGGCAGTTTCTAATTTAACATAAATATTGGTTCTGTTCATTCTGCATAACTTAATTTTACATTAAAAGATCGAGCTTCAATTCACAGTTCATTCTAAATGAACACATTGAGAATGTTAGTACATCAAGATAATGGAAAGTTTATTAACAATCGAATTCTTTCTTCTCCCCAGTGGAGGTAGTCTAACTTTTAAAAAAAGAAAGAAAAACAAACATCTCTTACACCGAATTGCTTTATCAGTTGCTGGAGTATCAGCGTCTCCGTTGAGTGGAGCTGCAGCTTGTTGTTTGTGACTCTGTCCTTGGTGCTGAACTCCGTGGTTGCGCTTGTGGTGTTTTTTAAGGAGCCAGTTCCCTCTGTGTCATATTTTAAATCTTTTATTTGTGTTGCGTTAGTGTTTGACATTATATATATATTTGTCTTAATTTGTTTTCTGACATATACGTTCCCCATTTGTCAGTTAGCGATCTGCTGGAGTGTTAACGAACAATGGAAAACAATCATACGGAATCAATTAAAATTTACTGTCAATAATGGTTCCTGTTTTAATGTGAATTTAATTTCGAAATGCTTTTTACTCTCATGAACAAGACTTTTGTTCAAAATGTATTCCCATTGCTCCTTTTGTTTTTAGTTCTACATGTTGAAATTAAAAACACATTTTATTTTAAAATACGCAACATGAAAGTCACGCTGATACTCTTCACATGTTTGCACCTTGCAGTCTTCTTATGTCTTTTATTAGATTTGAACATGTACATTTTTTGGTCTTGTAGAGATCCAAGAAGCTTTGTCCATTTTTCTTAAAAACGTTTTACAATCATTTTTATTTAATTATTGGTTGATTGATTGATTGATTGATTTTTGAGTAAAATGGACACAGAGATAAACATAAGATTGTAAGCAACAGTTAAATGCGATGCTTCAAGACCAAATGACTTGATTTGTGGTCAACTATTATTTAATTGTTAGATAATAATTTTCCTTTCATTATAAGATGCCTGAAGACAAATTTGTTGAAAAAAAGTCTGCCTTATAAGGAAGCGTCTCACTGTATTTAAAGACTGGATTAAAACATTGATAGTGTCTCATTACAGTTTTTAATACCTGATTAAAGTAGATTTTAATAAAACATCTAGACCAAATGATGTGATCAAACATGAAGAAAACTTGCATCGCTTCTGCAGAACTGCTATATATGATTTGTACTCACGGTGTCACTATAGACCAACGAAGGAGCTGAATGTTCATTCTTCTTTGCACACCACCCATTGTTGGGATTGGCCACTCTGTGTTCTGTAGTCTTCTGCATCGGTCACAAATGCTGAGAAGGCGCATATATTGATTGAATAACGGATTATTTAATTTTGCTTGGACATAACGTGTTTCATCTCCTGTATTACTTTCTGAGGATGATGCACAGTCGGCGCGTTGCTCGAAGCTATGGCTTTGTCTTTTTCTTTGTTGTGCTGCACTACGCACACGGAGACCTGAGCTATTCGGTGCAGGAGGAGCTGAAACACGGATCCGTTATTGGAAATATCGCCAAAGATCTCGGCCTGGATGTGGGCAGACTGTCTGCTCGTAAAGCGCGTGTTGACATGGAAGGGAGCGACAGACAGTATTGTGGGATTAACCTGAGAAGCGGAGATCTTGTTGTTTCGGAAAGAATTGATAGAGAGGAGCACTGTGGAGAGAAGCCTTCGTGTGTTCTCAGATTCGACCTACTGTTAGAGAATCCACTGGAGCTGCATCGTTTATCTCTGCAGGTGCAGGACATAAACGACAATGCACCGATCTTCCCGAAAGACGTGATCAAGCTGGAAATTAGAGAATCAGCTGCCAAAGGAGCTCGGTATCGTATTAATGCTGCACAAGATGCAGACATAGGCCAGAATTCAGTTCAAAGCTACGCTTTGCAACAAAACTCCCACTTCCTATTTAGCATTCAGACGACCAGTGCTGGCAGTAAATATGGTGAGCTGGTTTTGGATAAGGAGTTAGACCGAGAGGAGCAGCAGGAAATGAAATTATTGCTGACAGCTGTAGATGGTGGATCTCCTCAGAGATCAGGGACTGTAGTCATACACGTCATTGTGCTGGATGCTAATGATAACGCCCCTGTGTTTACTGAGGCCGTATATACAGCCAGTTTAGCAGAAAACTCACCTTTGAAAACCCCAGTTATCACTGTGAGTGCATCAGACGCAGACGAAGGTGTGAATGGAGAAGTTACGTATGAGTTTAGTCGACTCTCTGACAAATTACAAAAGCTGTTTTCACTCGATCATAAAACTGGAGAAATCTCTGTGACAGGTGACATAGATTATGAAGAGGGATCAAAATATGAAGTGGTTGTTGAGGCCAAAGACGGTTATGGACTTTCTTCAGAGGCCAAAGTGATTATTGACATCACTGATGTGAATGATAATGCTCCAGTGATATATCTGAAATCTCTGACCAATCCCATACCTGAGAACGTGTCACCTGGTACAGAGGTGGGCATCATTAATGTGCAGGACAGAGACTCTGAGAATAACCGACAGGTCCGCTGCTCCATTCAGCAAAATGTTCCTT